CGCGTGGTGGTGACATTTCCGGCGCCGGAGTCCCCGCCCACGGATCGCTTGTCCTCCACCGGCGCGGACCTCTGGGCAGGCGGTCGGGTACTTGGACTTACTCTTATGAACCTGTTGGGACTTTGGGGATTTGTAAGGGGCTTTGCTGCCCGAGCTCCGCGTCCCCTGGAGCCAGGCGGGGCTGTGGGCTGCGTCGCGGTTGCTTTTCTGGTCGCGCGTTTTCTGCTTTCTTCAGCATAGGCTATGCCACAGGCTGTGGGTCTTGCGGAAGCCTGAGGTCTTGAGGCAAATAGCGTAGTGCTGGTTAGCTCCCTGGAGACTGTATTGCTTCTTCTTAAAAACGTAGGTAACTTAGTGCCGCTTTGAGTAATGACGGGCGGGATCCACGCCCCTCCTGTTAGACCCACGGAGTGGACCGAAGCGGGGGTGGGTGATGCGTTCGGTCTTAGCCTCACTGGATGTCCGATGCGTTTCTTTAAGAAATTAGGAGTTGCTTTAACAAGGGTGTATGTAATGTAATTATGACTTGAGTTTTCCTATATTTTATCCTCCCTCTCCACCTCATAAGAACTATGAGTCGGTAGCAAAAGTAAATAGCCGTTTAAAAGTTTTACAAACGTTAAGTATTGGAATAATTTGATTCTTGGAGCAAAGAAAAGCAGCACCCTTCCCCCCTGAAAGGGGCAACTTAAAGTAGTTGAACTAAGGGTACAGAAGATATTAGCTTTCCGTTTTGGTAATACAAACTTGGTTAAGTGCTGAAAGGTTAACTCAGCCCGTGCAGAGCTGGTCAGTGAATTTTGTTCCGTTTCCTGTGGGCCTATGTTATTGGAATTGAGGTTATTACCAAAGTGATTGGTTCAGCACTTTTGCTTATTATGCCAAGTAATGCCCAGAGCAGCCCCAATAAAGTTGCGTCATTGTTATCCTCATGGGACAGGGAAGGAAACGGACTTTTAGGGAGGTTGGGTAATTGCCCATTACTTCTTAGCTGCTAAGGGGTGGAGCTGGAGCGCGGACTCCCTCCTTCCTGACTGTTGGGTTGTGCTAGTAACCACCTCTGACCCAGACCCTCCTTGCAGGTGCCCGCGGTGTAGTCTCTTTCCTGGACAGCGCGAGAGAGAACAATGCAGAAGGACTCCGGCCCGCTGTAAGTGCACAGTGAGGGGGGTGGAGTAGCCAGGAGCTTCTCAAACCGAGTTTTTGTCCCCATCTGGAAAGGGCTCCCACAGTGGACTGCTGGGGCAGAATTGGGTACAGGAGGATGGACACTCAGGTCACGGTTTGAGTCCCGTCTCTGCCACTGACTAGTTGTGTGACTTTAGGTTAGCCATCTAACCTCTGGGCTTTGTTTTCATTTCTGCGGTGACAGCATTATTCTGTAATGAAGACCTTTTAGTCCCAGTCTGTGATTGTGGGTCTTTGTTTTTTTAAAGACATGGTTGGCACTGATGTTTTATTCTTGTTTCCAGAGTGCCTTTACATTGGATTGGCTTTGGCTATGCAGCACTGGTTGCTTCTGGTGGGATCATTGGCTATGCCAAAGCAGGTATGGTTTATAGTGATTAACCTCTTAGGATCTTCACATTGTTCCTGGTGGAGAGTGAGTCCCCAGGGCCCCCAAAGCGCAGTCTTATTTGAATCAGGTTTGCTCTAGGCCCTCTAGCTTGAGTTCAGGCTTCTTGTCAGTCCTGTAGCAATTCCTGTAGTGGCTCCTCCTGCACTTGCCTTTGGGTTATCTGGCTGAGCTAAGCCAGGCTTCTTATCGAACCACTTGTTTTTGCCTCTTTGTCTAAAGGTGTTGGGCAGGAGTGGTAGCAGATTGTTATTATCATCAGCTACCATTTGACCCCGAGTGCCATCTCTGTGCTCTTTTCTTTAAGTAGCAGGAAATGTCTAGTCTTCACATACTCAATTTTTGAAGTCTCCTTATTAAATTTGGCAGGGGTGTGTCAGAGAGCCCGCATATCTCTACACAAACACACACACACACACACACACCAGAATTCTTACTCTCCAAATATTTTTTTAATTTACTAACCATTTCCTTCTCCTTTTGGGATTTCCCCAAGGTTCTGTCCATGGACAGGTCCAGTCCTTGATGGATTAATCAGGCCTGTTTAGGAGCCCTTCTTATTTTCCTTTCCTTTCCTTTCTTTCTTTCTTTTTTTTTTTTTAGATCAAAATGTTTTTATTTGAGACAGAAAAATGCAAAATTGCTGAGATACCAAACATTCCTTCCTTTTTTTTTTTTTTTAGATAAAAATGTTTTTATTTGAGACAGAAGAATGCAAAATTGCTGAGATACCAAACATATTTTCTCATCTGCTACAATACTGCCACTATGTACAAAAGATCTGATGATAAATGTGCACACATAAAAGTACAGCGTGCATGGATAGTACATGTAAAATGTATGGCATTCAAACATGATATGGAATTGATTTCAGGGGTGCAAACAGCAAATACAAATACATGTTTTTTTCTTTTAAAATAAAACATAAAGGCAATACATGAATGGACCCCAAATTGCCATAATTTTTTGTTTCTTAAATGGGTGCTTTAATAAGGAGTAGGAGCCTTTCTTCTTAGGTGAAAGTACCCTCCCTACTAGAGGAGAGAGCAGTGGTATGGTGTGGTGTGTGGTATGGTATGATCTGAGCCTTACTTCTCTGGTAAATTTACTTGAGCTCTTTAGCAAACTCCCCCAAACATTTTCATGCTTGAGAACTTGGTTGTGACCTGTGTTGGGAGTTCTCTTTGCTATTTTCCTTTGTCAGGAAGGGAAGGCTGGTGGATTCTGTCAATGCATGAGTGTCTGACACCACAATATGACCTGTGTTTGCTTTCCTCCAGGTAGCGTCCCATCCCTGGCTGCTGGGCTCCTCTTCGGTGGCTTAGCAGGCCTGGGTGCTTATCAGCTGTCTCAGGATCCAAGGAACATTTGGGTTTTCCTAGGTATGTCAGCTTCAAGCTCTCCCCAGTCAGCTATCTATCCAGAATACTCTACCACAGGCCCTAGTTTGGTGGAATGTGTCAGGTTCCTCACATTAAGACAGTTTCACTGCTTCTGCCCAGTCCAAGGGAGGTTTTTAAATGGGGAGGGAGGGAGATGGTTATGCTGGTTTCTGTTTTTATGTACAGAATGTGGAAAGGTTTTCATACCTCATGAATTTAGATTTACCCAGTGAAGTTAGTATTAGACTTGTATAAGGCAAGTATATGTCTCTTAATCATTGTGATTGCCCATTAAAGACTGTTTGAGCCGAAACCGGTTTGGCTCAGTGGATAGAGCGTCGGCCTGCGGACTGAAAGGTCCCAGGTTCGATTCCGGTCAAGGGCATGTACCTGGGTTGTGGGCACATCCCCAATAGGAGATGTGCAGGAGGCAGCTGATCGATGTTTCTCTCTCATCGATGTTTCTAACTCTCTATCTCTCTCCCTTCCTCTCTGTAAAAAATCAATAAAATATATAAAAAAAAAAAAAGACTGTTTGAGCATCACTAAAGGGTCACATGTCTGGGTTAAGTTTTATCAATATTGCATTTTCCCCATTTTCAAATCATTAGCCCTTTGGCAGTAAGCTAACCATGTAAGATGTAGGCCTTGCCTTCAAGAAGCCTGTACGTAAAAGGTGACTCTGCGGGGCTGTTGATATGCCCTGTGAGTAGCACAGACAGTGAGGAGTGCAGGGGAGGGAAGATTACTTCTTATCAGGGTGGCTTTTGGTACGTTTTATTGAGCTCCACCCATGTGTCTGACAGTCTCCTGGAGTGTGGGTTCCTCAGTGTCTCCACAAACCCATAGTATGAGAGAACATGCAGCTCTAACTCCCTTACAGGTGTGGTGGAGAACAAGCATGTTAACAGAATGGTTTGTACAAATCTGCCTGGGTTGGGGAGGGAAGGCAACGATGGCTGGTGTGGGGTGTGCTGGGGAGGGAGGAGGTGCCCAGCTCTCAGCTCTGCCTAACAGCTCCCTCCCTCCAGCTCCAGTAGGACTTTCAGACCTACTTTCCCATTTGTGATCCCACATCACTCTAGCAAATGACCCTCATTGCCTACTTGAAGAAACAATAGCAGTCATCACACGGGGACTGAGCTTCATGACATTGACCTCCAGTCCTTCTCTGGCCCTATTCCTCTCCTCTCCAAGGCCAATCCCTTCATCCCAGCTTTGGGTTTCTTATGCCATACCTTCTTGGAACTTTACACTGTCACTGATGCCATCTCTTACTTGCATTCCACCTTGCAGACGGATTCCTCTTATTGATATTCAGATGTGCTCATCTCACCCATTTAAAAAAAAAGAGGACCTTTCGTGAACCTACTTCCTTTTTCAGTTGCTGCCATTCTTCTTCCCCTTCAGAAACTTCTCTAGAAAAAGTTGTTATACTTCCTGTCTTCATTTCCACACCTCTCATACATTCTTGATCCACTTCAGTCTCCATTTCTGTACCTTTTGTCATGGAAATCCGTAACTCTCTCTGAGGCTGCCAGTGACCTGTATTTTTCAAAATCCAGTGTATATTTATTAGTCATTTTATTTGGCTGTTAGCTGCTCTCAATACAGTATACCAATCCAATCCATTTTTCACTCTCCTGGTCTTTTTATTTTCTCGTTCTCATTGTTGACCCTTGGTGTTTTTTTTGTTTGCTTGTTTGTTTTGTCACTAAGTATTAAAGTACTTAAGGCCTGGGCCTTTTTTTAACCTTCTTTATACTTTCTCGCTTGACAATGTCATTGAAGCCCAGGCCTTAAATTACCACCAATATACAAATGACTCACAAATTTATCTCTCCTCCAAGCTTGACTCTTTTTTAAAAAAAATATATTTTTTATTTCAGAGAGAAAGGGAGAGGTAAAGAGAGATAAAAGCATGGATGATGAGAGAGAGCATTGATTGGCTGCCCCTGCACGCCCCCTACTGGGGATCGAGCCCACAACCTTGCATGCATGTGCCCTTGACCAGAATCAAACCTGGGACCCTTGAGTCTGCAGGCCGAAGCTCTCTCCACTGAGCAAACCGGTTAGGGCCAAGCTTGACTCATATATGCACAGTTGTCTGCTTGAAATCTAGATGTCTCCAGGCCTGACTTCACTTGCTCACACACATTGTGTCTTCGGGTGTTCCCCCTCCATTCGGGTGTTGATTGCACTCTTCCCCTCTGTCATTCTAACTCGTCAGCAAGTCGTATCAACTCTACTTGGAACACATGTCCCAGGTTATCTCCTCTACCTCCATGGCCACCCTCCTCATCCCAGGCATCCCTCTCTTTTCCCTGCATTCCTGAGGAAGTTTCAATCTAGATGTCTCCAGGCCTGACTTCACTTGCTCACACACATTGTGTTTTCAGGTGTTCCCCCTCCATTCGGGTGTTGATTGCACTTTTCCCTTCCGTCATTCTAACACGTCAGCAAGTCGTATCAACACTACTTGGAACACATGTCCCAGATTATCTCCTCTACCTCCATGGCCACTCTCCTCATCCCAGGCATCCCTCTCTTTTCCCTGCACTCCTGAGGAAGGCTCTATCCACTGAGCCAAACCGGTTAGGGCCCTGAGGAACTTTCTTAAGTGATATCCCTACATGCTCCAGTTTCCCTGCAGTTTGCTCTCCATGGTACAGATTGGCTGGGCCCGGACTGGTGAGGGCCTTATATCTAGTATTTGTGCTTAGTCTCCCAGGACGTGGGTAATGAAGCTCCCCAACTTGAGAGGTCTGAGATGAGGTGTGGCCCTTGAAAGAAGGGTGGGACTTCGGTCACTTATTTTAGTTCTCCCAAATACAAGATGTGGTGATCTTTGCCTCTTTCTTTCCCATCAGTTACATCTGGAACCTTGGCTGGCATTATGGGAATGAGATTCTACCACTCTGGAAAATTTATGCCTGCGGGCTTAATTGCAGGTGCCAGGTACTTTCTGTTCTGTTGCTGTTCTTCACCCACATAGATTTTAGTTTAATGCTCATAATACTTTATACACCCTCAGATTTACTTGTTTCAATATACCTGATGCTGGGCATCAACTAAAATGATCTAATTTATGCACAAATAGGAGAAGCTGCAAAAATAGCTGATTTAGTGGCAAAGTGAAATATATTCATTCACTATGGAAATAGTTTTGCTTTCACATTTGCTCTCTGGTCCATCCTGGCTTCTCCCTACAGAGGGAGAAGCCTCAGTGCTAAGCTATAATGGCTGCTCATTCAGTGTGGGTTCATATTTCTTAGTTGTTTGGATGCCCTTTATTATACAAAATTTCGCTAAAAGGAAATTTTTATTGATTCCTGTTTTCTAATTAACTGATTATAAAATCCAAACCAAATTTTTTTTTTAATGTAGTCCTAAGCATAATAAAGAGACACTGAAGATAGGGGAATTTTTAAAACTCTGTTTTGGGAAAGGATTACTTACAGCTATGATTTTGGTTGTAGTTATAATGCTGTCAAGCAAAATGTTTTGTAGTCAGTGCAGACCGAGGTTGAGAGCAGTAAACTAGGAGGCTGCAGATCCGCCATTAGCTAGTTCTGTGACCGTGGGGAGGCCTGGGTTTCCCCGGCCTCCAGTTTTCTCATCTCTGAATTATTGGCAGTGAGATCAGGATCGCCAGCTGTACGTACTGTTTTAAGGCCTCGGCACAAGACTGCCCCGCGCCATGTTTTTTCTTTGGTGCCCCCAGGGATGGAAGTCCCATCTCTGCCTGCTTGGCACCTGCTCACTATGTGGTGAGAGACCCGCAGAATCCTAATCCTTTAAAAAAATAGTAAGTGCCTGTTCTGTTCTTTACCTGACATTTTTGCTTTGTGTTGTTGTTTTTTAACAGTTTGCTGATGGTCGCCAAACTTGGAATTAGTGTGTTCAGCAAACCCCATTAGTCATAGTCATGTCCCAGCTTGGACTCATGAAGAATTTAAGAACTTCCACTATTTTTAGTCTATTAGGAGAAATAAATGCAGCATTTTCACATATACTGACATTTTACTTTAAAAAAAAAAAAGATACTGATCTCTGCAGGGGAAAATATTAATCATTATTATTACAGCCCTAAAGAGGTGGGTATCCTACAATATAAATGCTTATTGTTATAATACCCTCATATAATTTGATTCTTGTATGTTGACATTATTTCTTCTTTTTGTATTTTTACATAAATCTCAAGGGGTAAATGTTAAGTGTCAACATTGGGGGCCCTGAAACCCCATACCCTACTTAGAGAAACTGTGTATCTGTTCTTTTGTTCATCTTAGAGCACAGACCTAACTTTGAAATTATGTTAAATGAAATATCAGTGAAAATAAAATTTACTATAAATAATATTTTCTATGGTGTCTTCATTGCCAGAGCTGCCTGGAACATAAAGTGAGATGTGAATAGTAGGAAGATAGAGGAAAATGAAAATTTTAAAAATATCTTATTTAGGGGTTACCGTTTTAAAAAATTGAAGGACCAAGGAAAGTTATTATTTGAGTATAGATTTCTTTTAAGCTGGTTTTAAAAATGACCTGTAGTAAGAATTTCTAAGATTAGGGCTGTGTAAACAAAAGAGAAAATGAAATTTTGGTTAACTAGTTAATCTATAAATGTGAAACTAAAAGACCTATCCGGAACTTGAATTACCTAGGTGGGTCTCTGCTTTGGACACACTAACTGTATACTGACACATCTTCAGTTCACTTTTTTTTTCAGCATTGAGAATTAACTCACTCTGGACTCCTTATTTTAGTTTCCCTCTCTTTAAAGAGGAGGGGATATTTGCTACTTACCTCCAACCTAACTGGTATTGGTTGGATTTAGAGTATAATTTAGTCACCTGTTAATTTTATGTATTTGCTTAAGCTCCTTGAAAGGTGTCCTAGTTTTCTCTTCCTTGTTTTATGTGACATGTCTGCCAGGGCCCATTCTTACAGTATAGTGCCCAGGGCTGTACACAAGGGGTGTGACAAGAGCGCTGTATTTTAGACCATGCATTTCTGTCAATGCAACCAGGATCAAAATAAGGTTTTTGGACAGCCCCTTCTCAGCAATGACTCATTGAGCTTTGGTCTACTGAGACCCCAGTTCTTTTTCTCGCATACTGCTGTTAATAACTAGATAGTGAAGGGATTAGTGCCTGATGTCACATACTTGCAAACACTTAAAAAAAAAACTTTTCCCATAGTTCCTGGTGTAGTCTGTGATTATATTTTATCATATAATTATACTAAGTTCATGGGGAACTTTTTTTCTGCCAAGGGCCATTTGGATATTTATAACATCACTAGAGGCCCAGTGCATGAAATTCATGCACGGGGTGTGGGGGGTGGTCACTCAGCCTGTCCTGCACCCTCTCCAATCCGGGACCCCATGGGGGGATGTTTGACTGCAGGTTTAGGCCCTATAGGATCGGGCCTAAACTGGCAGTCAGACATCCCCCTCACAATCCGGTACCGCTGGCTCCTAACTGCTCAACCTGCCTGATCCCCCCTAACTGCCTCTGCCTGCCTGCCTGATCGCCCCTAACCGCCTCTGCTTGCCTGCCTGATGCCCCTAACCGTGCTCCCCTGCCAGCCTGATTGCCCCTAACTGCTCTGCCTGCCTGCCTGATTGCCCCTAACCACCTCTGCCTGGGCCCCCACCACCGTGGCTTTGTCTGGAAGGACGTCCAGAAGATATTTGGTCTAATTAGCATATTATCCTTTTATTAGTGTAGATTTACAGGCTAAACAAAATTATCAACTTAAAAATTAACCTGCTATAGCCCTGACCCGTTTGGCTCAGTGGATAGAGCGTCAGCCTGCGGACTGAAGGGTCCCAGGTTCGATTCCAGTCAAGGGCATGTACCTTGGTTGCGGGCGCATCCCCAGTGGGGGGTGTGCAGGAAGCAGCTGATTGATGTTTTTCTCTCATCGATGTTTCTAGCTCTCTGTCCCTCTCCCTTCCTCTCTGTAAAAAAACAATAAAAATATATTTTAAAAAAAAAGTTAAAAAAAAATTAACCTGCTATATTTGGTCAAGCATTTAATTAACTCACCCCTAATACCTTGACAGGGCCAGACCAAATGATTTCCCGGCCTTATCTGGCCCGCAGGTTAGACATTTCCCACCCCTGGTTAATTGTTCCTGCACCCACGCTGGTTTAAATAATAATGACAGAAACATTTACAAATAGTTCACTGATATGTGGTATGATTTCATGCCCTGGTAAATCCTGTTATCATGGTCTTCTACACATCAGTCCTGTATAATCTAAGGAAAATGGACAAAGCAAACCAAGTAGGCAGAACATTTTATTTTTGATATTTTAAAAATTGATTTTTAGGAAAATGTGTTTGGAAGAAACAATTGGTATAGTTAGTGTTACAAAGGTCGGAGCACCCACAGGTGGCCTGAGTCTTGAGCAGAGAAGAGCTGTCTGTGTATAGTGTATGTTTACAGAGCAAACCTTCATCATTATGCTCATTTCCCAAAACCGTGTTGTGTGAGGGCCAGGTAGAAGGGAACATCAGTTATGACTTGCTACTCCCCAAATATTTGAATCAAATGAATTTTAAGGGCTGAGGTACAGCAAAAGAGTGTTCTAAATAAAAAAGCAATACTTGCCCGGCCAGCATGGCTGAGTAGTTGAGTGTTGACCTAAGAATCAGGAGGTCATAGTTTGATTCCCGATCAGAGCACATGCCCAGGTTGTGGGCTTGAGCCGATCTGTGATTCTCTCTCATCATTGATGTTTCTACCTCTCTCTCCCTCTCCCTTCCTCTCTGAAATCAATAAAAATACATTAAATTAAAAACAATACTCATTCTATATTCATCAGAAAGACTTATTTTGGGTTCTAAGGGCTCTTGGGTGGTTGTCATGGTAGCTACTTAAAACATTATAGTGTGGACGAAAGGGGCCACATGCTAACCTGACAAGCTCAGGGGAGGCCTGCATGGCGGTCTTGCAAACTCAGAGACCTAAAGTAACCACAAAGGATGGTCTGAAATTAAACTTTAACTAAAGCAGTTATGGTGGAAGTTACGTCCTAGGCCGGTATCTTCACTGACAAGATCAACTTTGATCCTTACTGAGCCCATTTGCCTTTTTGCCTCTAAGATAACATACCCTTGAAATGTCTGGGTAACTTATAACTTTCCTTTTTCTGGAGCCCCTGGGGCACAACC